TAATATATTTACTGAATATGAATTAATGACCATGAAATTTGAAATAAGAATATGTAATAATCAGGGAGTCAACATTGTATTTGTAATAATCAGAAATTAAAATGTACATACTATAGGTAATAAGCAGATGTCAACAAAACAGTTAATTGCCTGCAGGGGTGAATTTCTAACTGTCATGGGTATTGCAGATGACTTCAATGATTTTCAAAAATGTATAACTGCCTCCTTGTTTTTAACATGTTCAAGTGATTTTTTTGGGATATTCAAAACGATTTAAAACGGAAGAAATATGAAGCAACATGATGTACTTTTATTCTGGTATTTTATAAAAAGAATATAGTTTTATAAAGATTTTAAGGGTATTTATTTATACATTTAAACATTGGTAATAATTGCAAAGCATTAATTATTACAACTGTAATGAGTTAGATCAAACACAAATGTAAAAAGAAACTCAGGGTTTACTGCTGAATTTTACAAGGAGATGATAGCTATTTTAGTTGGCGGACTTGAGGCAAAGTTTTTTCTATAACCAGAGGCAGATTTAGGAAGGGGCAGAGTGCGTGTACCCCCTTTACGGAGCTACATTTATGGTTGATAGCAACTTTTTACCTGTTCCTGATATATATTACCTAGTTTGGGAGGCCTTAAGCCCCCTCTCTTTTTCGAAATCTGGATACGCATCTGATTACATGTATGAGAACTGAGATATGACACAGTTTGGTAAGAAGTCTAAGATAAGGACTATGACAATAAATTTACTATTTATTTATGTATATATATCAGGACATTTCATTTATTCTAGCACTTGACAAAGTCTAAAGCAGAAGAACAAGGAATGTTCTTTAAGTAATTTATTTACTATATAACATTAGACAAAAGGTCAATTTTAAGATGTAAAAAATTGTAAATTAAAATGGAAATCACCTGCTGGAAGATGGTCTTGATGTAGTTTACAGAAATGAGAATGGGCAAAATGTACAGAATAAAGTGCAAAAAAAATTAATAAGTGAAAAATGGGGTGCTGAAATATAAAAAAAAATAGAATAAAGTGAAATGATCTAAAAAATTAAAGAATACAGAAAAAAAGGACCGTTATCCAGACCCTTCCAGATTAATCAATAAAAAAAGGGATGGTGTAAGCCTCAATTAGAGAGTAACCTTAGAGTAATAGTAGACACTTCAAAAATCATGAATTTAGAAAGAAAGGCACGATCTTTTAAGGCAACTTTAAAAAGTAGGAGAGGTTGATTACAGGGAGGGTCTCGTCCAAATTTTAAGAAACTCATACACAATATATGCTGAGAACAAACACAGACAGAAATCAAATTTGGGTAGTGAGTCATTTATCGTTCAAGAGCTATGCCCCTTTTTGACTTGGAAAATTGCAAAGCTTTAAGAGCAGGGGCATCCATGTCCTCAGAAACATTCTTCTTTTATTTGGGTTAATATGTGCATTGCGAAACACTTACTTCTCCACGGTAGTGCTTAAACAAAATAAAGCTAAAAATTTATGTGTTGTTCTTGTTGCTACATGTATTAAGCAAATTATAAATGCAAGTTTCCTCAATACATTTGTGTACACAATAAACTAAGTTACAAGTTAGAAAATGAATCGGGTACATATGATAAAGATGCACTTTTGACGCAGAGGAAATATAGATGTCAATTACTTGGTAGTTGCCAGTGCATATATATGAGAGTGGGTGAATTCATAATTTTGTGTAATTTGTGTTTGGAAAAATGAAAAATGTCTACAGCATTCTACAGTACTATGAAATGATGTTGGGATTTATCTGGACAAGAAGCAAATTGTGCATTGAATAAATTGCAAACATGTAATTTGTTAGAAAGATCACACAAGTTGTAGGCTGTGAATAACTTGGATAATCATGATAATCATGAAAATTATTCATTTGAAATAATTACATGTATAGCAATTTAGAATAATAAGAATTCAAAGTATCAGTGAATATTTGTAGTGCATAATATCTGAATTTGATTAGTGCCTTGGATAAATATTATGGAATTCATAGATTCAGTGAATATTAGTTATATCTGAGTGCATCATCACATCTGAATTATATATATATATACACTTCGTGTATTGTGTTAGATGACCTTGTTTCATTCCTACGAGAAGGTAACACCTTCTGAAACGAAAGCTGATTTTTTATTAGCTATAGTTAGAGGGAGGGATAAGGCGTCCGCGCAATAAACATTCAGATACATGTAACTATATTTTAGTCTTTTAGTTTTAGTGAAGTAATTTAAGATAATGAGATGTGGTATAATTGCCAGTGAGACAACTATCACCCAAGACCAAATGAAGTAGATGTTACATGTAGCAACTAAAGGTAACTATACAGCATTCAGGGATGAGCAAAACCATTACTGCATAGCTAGCTATAAAAGGCCAGACATACCAAAACGTAAAACAATGCAAAACAGAAACCCAACAACCTGGTTTATGTACAAAACAAACGAATAGCAAATAGGATATACATGTATATTACAACAACCATTTAAAAGTTGCCTGCTTGTTTTAAGTATGAGTGATTGTTGGTTAGATTCTTATTCTAAACGTAAAAATTGGTATTTGCTGCTCCTTACTATACATGCTATACGTGGGAAATCTCATAGCATTTAGAAAAAGAGTTGAATGTCCCTCAGCAGACTGATGTATGTAGTATACTTAAAATCTGGTTAAAAGCTAATGGCCTACTACAAAGCAGGTTTTATACATATTAACATGTTGTCCTTAATATACATAGTGTTTGCCGTTTGATGTATAGCCACCTTTGTTCATTGAACCAGAAAGTTGATCTTGTAATTTGCTTATATTTATTTGCAAATTATGTTCAACAACATGGTTAAATTTGCAACAACTGGAAATTTGTATTCTAATAAAAATAATGAATTACTGAGAAAGAATTTTACATTCTTGCAAGATTTATTCTACTTCACTATTTTAAAATTGTTTACCAAAGTTTTGTTATACATTTTCTAATTGACTCATCAGTTGAAATCTACTCATCTGCATTTAACTGTTAAATTACAAACCTGGAATATTCACACCAAGATGGGTTTTCACACGGAAAACGCTTAGTTCTTTTATATACAATTTCTTTGATTTCAGTTGAAGCGTCGATCAACAATTTCGATAGATTTAAGAGAAATTTAAACCCGCCCACCCGTACCCTAAATATAATAGTGTGTTATATGACGATCTACTAGTTTAGGGTTATTTTTTTAGAATTTCTACCTTGATCATTCTTAGAATTGTTTATTGAATTGAAATATTGTTTTGTGTGATACCATATCATCAGCATAATAAAAAAAATTGTATGATACATGTAATTTCATGATTTCGAAAGTAATTTTGGAGTAATCATATAACCACATCGTAAATACCAATTCTTTACATCTTGTTCTGTCATGTCTATGTAACCAATTAGAAAACTTATAATTCGAATTAACATTATCTCTGTGCGGTAAATTTAGGCATTTAAGAGTTGTTCAGTTTAAAATGGCCGTTTCAGTAGTGAAAACAGTTTCTAGTGTATACATAGTCTAAAAGATCATCCAATTTTCTGGACATTGAAAGATCGGGGGTCTCACCGCCATTTAAGCGGTCTCAGGTCGGTAGTCATTATATATTTTGAATATCAAACTGACACTTTGAGCCCTCCGTAAACATAGAAGACAAGAAATTTACCCAAATTCCTTTTTGGTGTCATTTGAATCTTTATATAAACAAACTTTCTGCATAATATTATGAAGATTGTGAGATCAGGGAGGTCTAGCCATTGCTTTGTGTTCTTTCTAATCTTTGATAAAAATCTATATTTCATAAAGACAAATGTGCGATTTACATGAAGGTTTATATTTGAGGACAACGAGAATTTACGACAGCATGAAGGGGTCATAAAGCGATTTCCTACATATCTGTTTATTCCTAGTAACTATGACTGTCATGCTTTTTTAATGTTATAGAATATTTAGAATGTTTAATTATTTTCAACTAAGAAATTTGAATATCGAACCGAATGCTATCAGCCGGTTGGAGATTGAGAGTGCATTTCTTTCTAACACAAACGATGCAAACGGCTAAGAGCGCACATGTTTTGATCATTTGTTTCTAACATACGTTTGCAAAGTTTAAATAAACTTTGACAAACTATGCACTTGCTAAAAATGCGTCTACAGTTTGTCGTTCATCGTTTGTTTGTGCAAACGCTACATTTGTTTCTAACTTAGATTTATTAGGTATGTTGGTTGAAGGAACCGCATTTAATTATGACCAAAATAAGTCTGTTTAGTATTTACCAACAACATTTGCATGCATTATTGAAAGTTCAAACAGGGTTAGTAAACACTTATTAAACGATGTATTTGTTTCTACTTTTTTAGCGTTCAGCAAACGATAACAAATGCCACACAACGTTTACAAAATTTAGGTTAGAAAGAAATGCACCCTTAATATCGAATAACGAATAACGAACCGGTCGCTAACTTCACACCCATTAAAATATTTGGTTACTATCCTTAAAAAAAGTAAATAAAGGACCCTATGATTATTTTATCAATCAAACGAAAATTTATGTATCAGGAACATATACATTTTTAACATAAAAATGCATGCATTAGTAATTGGAGATTTAATGATTTAAGACACATTTAAGAAAATTTTGTCACCGATTTAATGTGCTTTCTACACAAAAGTGCATTTATGTTATTTTGAAAGAATTTATTCAGTATTATTTTAGAGAATAGAATAGATAGAAGCATTATTTTTCTATTTTCGGATATAGTTCAACGAGCCAAACGTTCATTCAAACTTTTACAACATTTGAACACCGGTATACTACTGTTGCCTTTATTTACAAAACATAGCCTTTTTTAATACCGTACCTTGACTTTAAAATATATATATTTCAATTGTTAGCATATCAAGTTTAAAATCGTTTGATTTAATGTTGAATACATTTAAATACCTAGTGATATCATTTTCATTGTTTGCTTTAAATTGCTAATGGCAGTACTCCAGCAATATCATATTATTTATAGTGCCGATGGAATTTCATGTTGCTTTCTCTTTCGATTACAATCTGGTCTTGTGTAGGAAGATATGAGCATAATATTTTTACAACTACTTCAAGATCATAAATTCTCGCCTGGAAATAATGTATTTGGAAGACTAGTTTTTCTTTCTCTGGTAGCCTACACTTTCTGCTACATTCATTCTTCCCCTTCGTATGAACGGGGCGGAAAAGTTTGCTATTACTGTTCGCCAGGATTCTACTGGAGCAGTGATTGTTGGGTAAGTCGAATAATACTTATCTTATAATTTTGAGTCGAGATGAAAAGAAATTGAAGAATATGCTTTGATTAGATATATAAAAATTACTTCTATCCTCTTGTGGATGGCGCTTCGGTCAGTTTTGATAGATAGATATAATAAAAGTGTTACCTTTCTTTGTCTAAGTTTAATTTAAATAAGTATTTAATCATTGAAATTAAAACAAAACAAAAAACATCAACAAACATCAACAAACGTACGTTGAGTGTAATTAAATATGAAAAGAATTACCTGTACAATAAATGAAAGTGTAATGTGAATTGATAATATATTATATTGAAATCCTTGAAAAATGTAAATTTGTTTTAAATATTAATGGTAAACGCATGTCTGTCCTCAAGCCAGGGGTTTTCGTGTATCAAATCCTAAGTTTTAATTCTATTGAATGAATCAGAAATTTGATTTATCAACGAATGTCTGTACACATTTATCCAAGTAACACAACTACTATAAATAGAAATGTAGCTATATGAACACGTGATCAAATTAGAATAGATTTCATTGAAATTTCAATTATATTATTTAAATCTGTTTTGGCTGTTGTAGACTATTTTTAAAATGCGAAAAGATGTATGACTAACATCAAATATATCAATATGTCCTTGAATAATTGTACAAAATTAGTACAGATTTAAAGTAAAAATTAATTAAACTAAATATAATGATATGTATTGTTACGGACCTAACTTTCTCAGTTGAATGTGTAGTACACTATCAAGCTGAATTACAATTTCCGTTTAAAACATAAATGAATAAATCGGAAGTGTGCATTATCAACAAGTCTCTATGAAGAATCTATAATGTACCTAAGTTACTAAATAGTACTAGGAATGTAAATATATGAACAGGTAACGTTTGTAATAAAAATAGATTACGGAGTTTAGGTGGCAGAAACCAGTTATTTTACAATAAATCTTTAGAATTTCATGGATTTATGATTTTATTTTCTTGAAAATTCATTCAAGCTTATATACAAATAAAATGTATGGATTCAAGTAACTAAGATGTGTGCGTGCTTATGTGAATATATAGAAAACCTTTAAATTTGGGGGGCTGTCCAGCATGGATATTTTAAAATTTATAAATGCATTGCAAATAAGGCAAAAAATGTGATGCTCTGATACCAATCTAATCCTTACCTGCAGAATCCTGCTAAAAGCCGACAAGAATTTTAGGCAAAATTCAAGAGATAAATGATATTCAGTGAATTAGAGCCTTGTCCGAACCTATCCTTACCATCAAAATCTCAAGATATTTTTGTTTACATAAAACTGAAGTTTTTCCCCACTTTGATTGGATGCCGTCAAGTGAGGAGACCACAATTTTGACTTCTGATTGGACCCATTTGTGAAGGAAATCCCCAACCTGTGTATGCAACTACTTACTTGTGTAGTACAATAGCCTAGAATTTACATTCATTTATTTTTTCAGTCCACATGATGCAATTATATACCTCAATGCTTAACTATAACCAAATTTCTGCGTGGGACACATGTTCTGGTACACCAAAACTGGTACCTGCCACCTTTAACCACTTATTAAAAAGAATATATTTCCATTTTTTTAGTCTGATTGAGTTCTGTAGTCATTTACCATTAAAAGTACATGCAGTGCATATGGTTACGGCACCAAAAAAAAACATTAATAGGCTTTGTAAGACCAAATTTATTAAAGCAATATTTGTGTCTTTTGCCGTCAAACTGCTTTGAATGCAAAAAAAATAGAAAAAAAGGATTGTGTTCATATTTAATAAATTTTATTGTGTGAGTTTTCTGGTACAGTGTATGAATTATCCAACAGTTCTCAAAAATACTTTAGTTTATTGTTTCATGCATGATATAAAACCACTTACAACTGATCTCAGGAAGTATTTTTCCATTGTTTGAGGTATTAAATAGTCTCAATTCTTGTCACTATCACTGTTCTGTTGACTGCAGTGCTGAAAAAGGCTTAGTTTTGAATAAACTAATATTTTTGGTACATATATTTCACTTAGTAGATCCATGCTGCACTAAACTAAGTGTACATTTATTCGCAATCAGTCTCATATCTCTTCTCCACATGAGCTAGCTGTGTAGGCCGCATGTTGAAATTTTAGAATTGCCACACTATTGCTGATGAGAGAGACCAGTTTACTTATTTCTGTAGCCTGTCCTACAGTATCAACTATGTAGTAGACCTATAAAAAAAGAAGAATTCATATATTCATAGTTAAAAAGTAAATAAATAAGAAAATGTCCATATCATGTGAAATAAATCATTATAACAGGTAATATACAGTATAATCAGCTTTTTCTAGTGCTATGCTGAGGCTTATTTTACTTTTTTCTCTCTTTGTAATTGCTGTTTCTATATATTTTATGATATAAAATCATTGTTTGGTGAATATAATCATTTTAAAACTAATCAATTGAGTGTCATTGTTTGTATTGGTATACAGAGTTATCTATACGAATTACACTGAACTAGTATATATATTTGTTTAGGGGCCAGCTGAAGGACGCCTCCGGGTGCGGGAATTTCTCGCTGCATTGAAGACCTGTTGGTGGCCTTCTGCTGTTGTCTGTTCTGTGGTCGGGTTGTTGTCTCTTTGACACATTCCCCATTTCCATTCTCAATTTTATTATCTGTCTTGATATTTGATAATTCTTAAAATCCATGTAAAAACTATTTTCTTCCAAACAGACCTATACATTGACTGTGAATAAAAGAAATGTAACACCACACACCTGTAGAACCCTTAAAAAGGCACATTTTGTGATATGTTAAAATCATGTTTAGGCTTAAGGTGGCAGAAACCAGTTATTTTACAATAAATCTTTAGAATTTCATGGATTTATGATTTTATTTTCTTGAAAATTCATTCAAGCTTATATACAAATAAAATGTATGGATTCAAGTAACTAAGATGTGTGCGTGCTTATGTGAATATATAGAAAACCTTTAAATTTGGGGGGCTGTCCAGCATGGATATTTTAAAATTTATAAATGCATTGCAAATAAGGCAAAAAATGTGATGCTCTGATACCAATCTAATCCTTACCTGCAGAATCCTGCTAAAAGCCGACAAGAATTTTAGGCAAAATTCAAGAGATAAATGATATTCAGTGAATTAGAGCCTTGTCCGAACCTATCCTTACCATCAAAATCTCAAGATATTTTTGTTTACATAAAACTGAAGTTTTTCCCCACTTTGATTGGATGCCGTCAAGTGAGGAGACCACAATTTTGACTTCTGATTGGACCCATTTGTGAAGGAAATCCCCAACCTGTGTATGCAACTACTTACTTGTGTAGTACAATAGCCTAGAATTTACATTCATTTATTTTTTCAGTCCACATGATGCAATTATATACCTTAATGCTTAACTATAACCAAATTTCTGCGTGGGACACATGTTCTGGTACACCAAAACTGGTACCTGCCACCTTAGTGTGACGTCCATTTTCTCTGAACTAGTATACATTTACTAAAGCCGGACTCTAGATTCGGGATTTTCTCGCCCTGTTGAGTCAGGATGTGACGGTTGTTTTCTATTCGTTCCATTTGTTTATAAAGTCTAACGTTTGATTTTGTCAGTTTTTATGAGCTTCTCCCTTTTTTAATTACTGTGGATTCATTATTATTCGTTGGATACCAATTTTCGTGGGTTTCTTGGAAACAGGTGAACAACGAATTCAAATGTTGAACGAATTACAATTTTTCAATAGGCTTTGTATGCAGAGATTGGCAAAACCACGAAATCAAATATCCACGAAAATGCAAGTTTTACTCAATCCACGAAAATTGATACCCACGAAAATGAATGAATCCACAGTATACTTGGAGTTCGATATTTTGGTTATACTTTTTTCGATTGATTTTGGAAAGTTTGATGGTGAATTACAGAAACTGAAAACGATTAGACTCCCCTGACCAGTGCTCGATATGGACCAGTGCTCGATAACCCGCTACAGAATTTTTTTTTATGGGAATAAAACACTTTTGAATTAAAATATTGGTTGTATGTATACCTTAAAAGGGGCTTTACAGGAAATGTACATTTCGCATGCTCTTAACTTAACGTGAAATTAATAGCAGACAATAAATCGACAGTGGTGAATCGAAGTTGAAAAGATCGCTCTTGCCAGTCTTGAAATCAAGTTTAAAAAAAACTTTAAAGTAAATATTTAGTAGTTAGAAATAACATGGATCATTTATAAAAACATTCAGAATTCAAATGGTGTGATACAGTAATATTCAATCCAGGGCATTTGTACCATCATTTTTTTGTCCCCCCTAGAGCCCCTTCAGATTTTAACTTGACCGCCGCCATTTTATGTAAACAATATATTTTGGGTAAACTTGCTTGTCATTTCATGTAAATTCCGGTTTGTGTGTTACATATGTCACTGATGAGCCGTGGTACTGCAATGTTTGTGTACAGTCTGAGGAATAATGAACTATGAACATTTTTTACGGAAAAAAGTAGTTTTCCAAACATTACACATCTTGATGAATTTAAGAATCTCTGAAGTTCTGTGAATAAATTACAATTTCAGTAAAATTTAAATGCCAATTATCAGTTTAATGTTCATTTTATCAATTAGACATCATAGTTCTTATTTTATTTTTATTCTGAGGTTTTTATAACATTATCGAGATTTGGTCAAGTTGTATTCGAATTTGGCATACTTTAAGCATTTGCAACAAACATGCCCCAAGATGAAGTCATAATAGAAATTAAACAACCAATCATGTCCTTTTGTTTCAAATAAGGTCAACTTTGATAAAACCAAAGGTCAGGAATTAGTTTGCAAGATTATGTCGGTAAACAGTAAAAAGCAGTGTTAAATTATCGAGCACTGGTCAGGAGAGTCTACATTATATTCAAATGAAACATTATTTTCATTCTGTATTTATTTATTGAAAGCAAATAGATTTGAATGATTTATATACGCCATAGGTCTGATTAATCTCAAACTTGATATACATCTATAACTTTTCATCTTCATTATTTAGACTAGTCGCACTCAAGCTCAGTGTCAGCCATGTCCTAATGGAACCTTCCAGACAACTTCAAATATTGCACACTATTGTGAAAGGTGTAAAAATTGTGAAGAAGTAGTAAGAAACTATCTCTTCGCTGCAGTAATTACACAATGCACCTCATATTCAAATACCATATGTGGATGCACAGTGGGTTATCATTTCGTCAAAGATCATGGTGGAAATGGAATGGGATTCTGTCAACTCAACAAATTGTGTCGTGTTGGATATGGACTCGTAGAAAATGGTATACTTTATTATTCATGTTATTATGTGGATAAAAGTTGCAAATACATTAATTAAAAATAATTATTCATCAAGTGTACGAATTTAAAGAAATTAAGTATTAAGTCAAGTAATTATTGATATATATATATATATAAATATATACACATCTAAATTCTACACTATATATATATATATATATATATATATATATATATATATATAGTGTAGAGCGCTGGACACAGTGCAGGCGATGTTGTCTCGATATCTCAATAGCATGAGTTCGAATCCCGGCGAGGGAAAAACAAAAATTTGCTTCCGCAAATTTGCAGATTTAACATTGTTTTGCTGATTTTTAGAATAATTATGAATATAATATGTGTTTTCAGTCGTGTATCACCTTCACTGGTGATCCAATGGATGGATCTGTCGTAGAGTTGTTACTTGTTTAGACGTACTTATATATATATGTATAAAGGCTCTTTTAATGTCTTACCTCCTCATTTACATACAAAACTTATATCAAATCGAAATCATGGCAAAACAAAATCACTGGCTACCGTCTAGGACTGACTGCAACTGACCTATTACATGGTATTTAAACCTTGTAGCGGATAATCTCTATTAAAATGTTTTAGATATCAGGTCAACGAAAAATTATATTATATATACAGTTTACTAATACTTGAATACGTTTAAATGCACCCTATAGGATACTGGTAAAGTATAGTCTTTTTATCATTTAGCTTTGAAATTAGGGTGGCTAATATAAAGGGGCATTAGCTGTCAAATTCGTGACCACCGATTTGACTTAAATTCTCATATCTGATTCATAACATACTGAAACAAAATCCAAATTACAAAAAGTCAAAAAGAAACAATTAACAATGCATGACTCGTTATAATGTAATAGCATTTCGTGTGTATTTTAGACTAAATGCCATCTAACTAACCACCGAAATTACCTCCGAAGACTGCCGATAGTCATTCGACCTAATATAAACATAAATATCAATATAAATAGCCTGAGAAGCACGTGGAGTTGTGTAAATACTATTTTTCCATGTCTTTTTGATTTCATGTCATAGATTAGAAAAATATAAATTATCGTTTTACCTGGATATGAATGATTTCTTGAGGGCCGAATCGATCAAAGAAATGTTTTTATTATGGTGGCTCCCTTGTTTCACTTTTCAATGTTGACATTCTTTTCTATTTAATAACTAAAAACGTTTAGGGCATGCGTAACACATCTTCAGTTAAAGTTCAAGTTATGGCTATCTGAATACGGGTTGAAAATGAGGTTGAAATATTCACTTTCAAGTCATTGATACATTTGAGATGTTTTCTATCTTAATCTTACCAAATTGGGTTAAGCTGACTGTTAAAAGCGAAATATCATTTCATAATTCTGCTTTTATAAATGGTCGAAACAAAACAAAATCGTTTTGTAATCTTTTGTCTAAATGACAGCTAATGCCCCTTTAATGCTTTAAAAAAAATATATATATAGCATATTAGCGACAGTAGAATATAAAACAAAAAGTCACGAAATGTTCATGCGAAAATATGATTTTAAATCAAGAAAAAACAATCTATAATAAATTTCCTAAAATGAGGGCTGCTTATCTACAAACGGCTATGTAGTGTCATAGGTTGCAAAAGTTTCATTTGAAATAGACGGTAATTCATTTTGAAATAAACTATTATCAAATTGGTTTCTTCAAAGTTTTTTTTTTATGATGTTGCCTTATATAAATCCCGTTATCATTTTGCATTATAAGATAGGAGGTGTGAGGCATTTTCACCATATTAGAGTATATCTTGCAGATGATGTATATATTTTTCATTCATAAAAGTCTATGTGGTTTTTTTTACATTTATAAATAAGTTGACAAATATATGCCAATAAGTAACATGTTGGTACACAGTATATCAGTCATACAATATGCTGGTTTTCAGAGGTGTGCCGGGTTTATATTTAGATTATTGGTAGTTCATTCATTGGCAGTGTAGACATATATACACCAGTAATTGAAAACGGCATAGATTAAAAACATCATTATATATTAATACCGACATCAACAAAACATCGGTTCCTACAGAAACTAAAACAAAATAGTGTTTATTCGGAGTCTTACAGTGATCATAATGATGCTAACGAATTAAGTATATTCATTATCAGGAGTCTTACAGTGGTACTAACGAATTAAGATTAGAAATAGATTAACACAGATGTCTATGTAGATGCTACACAACTAACATAAATTAAACCAATAATATTTTCCATCCATAATTACAGCAACATTTACATGTAGCAAGGTATATGTTTTGTTGATTTGGTTTTACTATTCTTTATGACATGCGGGAAGACTTGAGTACTGAGATAACATGGTTTTTTTTATTATATTCATTGATTTACTTTTTCTTAATTGCCATTTTGTATGATTTTACATGAAACTTTAATATATATGATGTATCCTTTAAGGTTCTCACTTTAAAGATACAATATGTAGAAAATGTCTCGAGGGATTTACCTATAGCTCTTCAGAGTCGACAAAACCCTGTTTGGAATGTACAAGGAACTGCCATAATGGTACCCATATCCAGTATCCATGCAACATTACACATGATATGGCATGTGAGGATAATAGTGGTTAGTTTGATTAAGCTTACTATGGTCTGTAACTTTATCTAATCTGTTTTTGTGTCTTTTTTCTTTTCGTTTTAGTTGCACACTCACAAAATTTTCACATAATCTTTTAATATCAAATGACTAATTTCAATGAGTTTGGATTAATGAATAGATAGACACGTATATATAATAAGTTGAAAATTTTCAGAATCAGAGGGACCTATCAAGGAAAATATTAAGACGACAGGAAGCACTGCAATAGCTATTGGTACAGTATGTGGAGTATTTCTGTTTATGGTTATAATTATAACTATAGTAACGGTCAGGAGAAGGTGTTTCAGACCGAACTCCAATATCAGAACGTATGTACTCTTAGTAATTAATTAGGAATAGCTGTTAAGATATAATGTATCTTCATTTTTTTAATCGAATGTGAATCATAATATCTCATTTCAAACAACAACAAAAAAACGGATTTGCAATTACCTCTTCAAACGACTTTGCAAAGATTTTTGTTGTAAAAAGATACATTTTATTAACTATTGGACGTTTGCGTGGTGAGCAATCCTCCGGTCAGTCTGCATTGTAAATCAGATATAAAAACATTCGTATACCAGTGTGTTTGCAATGCGTTCTTGGATGTAAATAAACATATTTTTTTCATAAGTAACGAAAATGTAAAGGAGGGATATAGAAGATATCTTTATTAAAGCTTACAATTTGAGGAAATGTGTTCGTTGTCTATCATTTTGGCGTTATAGACTTATTGATAAACATAAAAACTATACTGTTGATGTTAAATCATTGCATTTGGTATTTGGGAGGGGGGAGAGTTGGGATCAATTCGTTAATTAATAGTTTGAAGCAATAAATATCAAAATATTTAGTGTTTTTTGCAAATGGCTCGGACTTTTAAATTCGATAATTTAACTATCCCGATTGGATAAATCCGATAATCCTCTGGTACCAATGTAGGAATCCATATAAATCTTTGATATATGTTCACAGAATGTCTAATATAATCAATTCATCGTTTAAGTAGAATAAAAGAAATGTAAAAGTTTAGAAGCTTCGATTTGCCTTTAGAGCAAATACACTTTAAAATATATTCTTGTCTTTCACAGTGATAACAGATCTGTTGTATTTAGGTAAGTTTTGTCATTCATTTGTAAGTTTGAAATCAACTTCAAGTATGTGTAGCTTATGTTATATGATTGTGTGAAATCTATAAACGTGCATTATAGGACTATGAAAGTTATGTTTGCCAGCGTTAAAAGCAGATGGAACAGCGAGGCTCGCAGAGTACAAAGGACTATTATATATATTTTAATATTATACTGATGTTGTTGTTATTCAAAATTAGTCCTCATTTATTTAGGTTTTCTTCTCAGTTTGAGAGGCGGGGAATTCAAAAGATTATTGCGAGGAAATCCGTTATTAAATTATCCATTGTGCATTAAGGATGTTCGCTATTCTTGTATTTGACTTTTTGTCAGATATTCTCTAGCTTTTTTTTCATGTAGTGCTAATATAAGTTAACCCGTAATTTTCTTTTCATTCTTTTTTTAAATACAGTTTAGAAAGCATCTTTGGAAAATCGTATATAATCCTTGTTATTTCTAACAGTTTTTAAAAGAAAGAAGGTGTTAATGTTAAATGCAAGATAAATCTAGAGAGAGTCATTTCTCGCCAAATTTCCAATTGTCTCAAAAACAAGGACACGGGCCTGTTTTTTTTTTTTATATATACTTTCAATTTATAACAGTCTTTTAAAAAGCTTGTTATTTTGAAACAGAGGAGTGAACATCCTTAACCAAACCATAGAGGAAATTTCTTAAATGAAAAAAAGATATATATATACATAAATGATTTTTTTAGGGGATATGCAACAATATGATGACATCTTCTTTCGTTTTGTTCGTTTTCAAACTATCCTGAATTATCTTTCAGGGCAAGTTTTATTCCGTTGTTGGATGATTTGAAGAATGAAAGTCAACAGGGTAATTTAAAGATTTATATTCAGAAAATAGTTTAACCTTATAACAAAGAAAATTCTCTGTAGCAAATTTGAAAGCTTTGTAAAAAATCAAAATTTAGGGCAATTTTTAGAAATATACATAACTGCAGTGTTCATAAAATATCAAAATCATTCAAAACACTTAGGTTTTTCGAACCTCAAACATAGATTTTCATGGCAAGATTTGGTTCGGGATTTTTATTTTTCAAATGCTCTTAATATTCTAATGATTTGTTCTTCCAACTGCTGTAATTCGAGCGAAACTAGTTCGTCTATTGTAGACGGGCGTCGGCATCCTTAATTATAAGCCTTGTATCGTCGATGAGTTGTTTAGACAATGTTCATAAGCGGTAAAAAAAAGTACAATATTAACAATAGAAAAAGTTCTCTGATTGTTTTGAATACATTTTATTTTGTTCTTGTCAAACACTCATTAAATGTGCTATCATGAAAATTTCACGATACATTTTATTTCAAGAAAAACATCAGTTTTAACCCACAGAAAATCCCGTTTGTAAAATGAACAACAATTGCAAAATTTTAACGATCATTTGTATGGTAATTGTAAAAAAAAATTTTTTTAGAATAAAACCACCTATTTTTGTGGTCAGACAGGCATTGATAGGATGTCCTTATTCATGAATTAGAATATATATTTATTCATTAGTTATCTACATAAGGGCGTTAGTTCGATGGAATACACATGTTATATAATTTACAATATAATATGATGATTAAAATAATTTAGGAGGGAATTTATTAGGAATTTTACTTTTTTTTAAGGATAAACATGTTTAATGCAGGATTTATTCTCCAAATGCACACACATGTAATGCGCCAATTTAGTTACATTTAATGACACTAAGGTGTTAATATCCTAATGATAAACATGTTTTCTATTTCCAAAAATCTACATGTTTAGCGTTGTTTATATTAAGTTATTTATATTTAGATGACGACAGAATAAACTGGGAGAAATTCTTCAATAGGTTTTGTTCCGAAATTGATGTTCTTCCTGACTGGGAACATTTCATTAGGACATTATTTAGTAAGTAAATACTAAAAGAAATCCTATTTAAAAAATAAATAAACAAAGAACAATACAAAAATTAAGTTATTACACTGATATCTTAATTAGGAAAACAAACCTGTGTATTAAATTTGTAAGAGCTAACGATGAGGCGGGTGTTACCTGCGAAAGTTCGTATTAGCACATGTAACGTGATACAAATTTGCGGGAAATCGTATGCTTTACAACATGGCATTATCCTTCAACAGCTAGAATGTGCAAGTGTAATTGCTGTAAAAAAAAATATCGATAGACTATTTCACGTAGTATTAATTATGTAGTCCTTTTAAGAGAACTTTGTCTTCTATTTTATCTTTCCATGTATCATTAAATACAAACAAAAAGAAACGTATAAGTTGAAATGCTCTACTAGTAATAACTTATGTTAAAAGATGCTTTTAAAATAAATTACCTTTTACCAATACATGTTAAGAATGTACATCAGCATTGGTTTAACCGATGAATTGATAACTCAAAATGAGGGTTTTGACCGTTGCCGTTGTGTAACCATGTTTCATCTATATATGTTTATAAAACTATACACTTTGTTTAGAACTTATTGCACAATAAAATCACTTGGAAGGTAATGTATATCGAAATAGAATTCTGGATTATGATCGCATGAATGAGAAATTGGATTTTAAATTATAATCTCAGGAATCTAAAATTGCATTCTTAATTATGCTCGCATGTATTAGATATCATATTATGAATTATGATCGCATAAATTAGAAATTGAATTCTGAATTATGAGCGCATGAATCAAAATTTGCATTTGCATTCTGATTATGATCGCATGAATCAGAAATTGCTTTCTCAAATATTATCGTCGCAATACTGGTATGCAACATTTAAGTGAAGTCTCAATAAATGATTGGCAAGTTTGTGGGTCTTTGATAAGTCGCAATTATATAGGCACTTAATAATTACTTTCATTATAATTATGTTAATATATTCAACAGCTCTTTCAGGCCAGGCAGAACAAGGACAGCAAGCTGTCAATGAAGCCAAAGTCACACACGACCAGGAACGATATCGTTCTCGCTTATATTATGCACTTATTAAATGGAAAAACTATAACTACGTCGATAATGATTCAGAAATGTTTCAGGTTCTTTGTCAAGCTGTTAATAAGCATAAGAAAGGCTCAGTAAAAATCTGCGCTTGATTGTTACTGTTGTATTTTTGAATGAACAAAACTTTTTAAAAAAACCTTAATTACATACAAATGCTTCAAAAGTTTTTGTTTTAGTTTGTTTAACCCGTGTATTTAATTAAAGGACATCTTAACCCCTAAATAGGCTTCTTTTAACACTGTAAATTAAGGTAGGCAAGTGCATTTCGTTGGTACTTCACAATTATACATTTAAAGAAATAAATGAATATAATCATACATTAACTTAAGCGTATTTAAAAGTAACATTTATTTACGATATGGAAATTTGTAATTGTCAGTTGTTTTGGATTTCATATTTTCGTCCTTGAACTTCAATACAACTAACTATGTTTTTTAAATTTGTTGATATCTATGCATGACCGTTCTAAAATAACATACCATGAATAGTATAAACTTCCTAATAAAATTTTAATGATATCGTACAGTATTGCATGGTATAGAGTACTTCCTTTTTAATAATAATTTCGCAACCGGACATTTACCCTGTACATAAATTATGGGTAGTTTTGTAAGGTAAAATATTATTGTTTTTGACTCAATGGGGTAAAATTGAATTGTGTATGGTGTATGGTGCAACTGAGAACTGTGTATTTCGCACTTGTGCAAGTGGTCAACTTACATGGATCATGGTAGAATACCATATGTGATAAATAAATATTGTGTCATTCACAAATGCAACTGTCTTTTTTAACGCGATAGAAAAACATCCTCGTCGATTTTTTAATTGTATAAATTGAGTTTCTTTAGTTACATCCCGTCAAATAAACATTTTACGATTGTTTCATTAACCTCGTCTGCTATCTAGCATCAGTTCACAAAACAAATTCAGATAAGCAGACGTTTGATTTGTATAACAAAATTATAACAAAGTGAAGACCATTTATAATTCCCAGGGAAAACATTTATCTTAGTACCATCTCTGTTTTTCACTATCATCAAATACAACATTAGTGACAAGTTTCGTCAATTTCTATATCATGTGGTTTATTTAATGATTGATATAATTTACGCTACCTTTTTTCCGATGTCTGTTTTATTGATATATTTGTTAATTTCTTCATCAGTATTTTGTATGAAAATGAAAGACAATGACGAAAAAAGATGTGATATTTGTTTTTTGCTATGAATTACTTAAATGTTTATAGTTTCATTTAAATTTCGACTCGCATCTATAGAAAAATCTGTAAAACGTTATTCCCATTTATAGATACATATGTTTGTAGTTATTTTCTAGTATAATTTATTTTTGTATAAACTGTCCATAGTTCATAAGAATCAACCAGTATTACAAGTGATTAGAATGATGTATAAAGATACGAAAACATTCTATCAGAAAAATCTACGATATTAAATACTTTCACAATAAACATGGCAATTACAATTATTATATGGTTTGCCAAAAGACTAATCTGATGGTTTCAGCCATTATGTATTACCGTCGAATATTATTCATCTGTAAATAAAGAATACAGTGTGTGTCAAGTACACGTATTCTATTATCAATAAAACTCAGAATGCAATCAAAAGTTGGTATTCATATCTATTTATCACCCTCAGGATTGTCGCAAATATTATATATTGTTTGATTCATCGTGGCTTAGCAAATATTCACTCAAGTGTTTACATGCATGAAGCAAGGCATAACATTTAACGTAATTGGTGTTTTAAAACTCATCCAAAATACCAAAATGTGTTGCATTGTTTTCCTATCAGTATCTATCAAAATGTTAATATGCAATTTTCTTTTAACATTCAATTCATGTACGATACAACCTTGAACAGGGTTCGTGATTAATTTCATGTGTTGTGGTTGTTGAGATTTAATAAAATAATATAATTTGAAGTATCGTTTTGTTTTATAAAAATAAGGAGATGTGGTATGATTGCCACTGAGACAACTATCCACCAAAGTTCAATTGAAGTGTATTAACGCAAATATAGGCAATCGTATGGCCTTCAACAATTAGAAAAACCCATAAAGTAAAGCCGGCTATAAAATAAAACCCGACATGACCAGTATGAAACAATTCAATTGAGGAAACGAACGGCCTACTTTATAACAAAACAATTTACGAAAAACAAATATGACAGACATGAACCAACGACATCCACTGCCAACTAAAGCCTTCTTTCTTGGAACAGGTACATCAAAATGTGACGGAGTCAAACATGCTCGGAGTTGCCAACCATTTCCTTACCTGGGACAGTGGTGGAACGTCACAACAGAAAACAAACTATGCAAACAATAAACGAATAATTAATATGAGAAACAGCAAAAAACGACAACCACTCAATCACAGGCTCCTTACTTGGGACATGCACATAGAGAATGTAGCTGGGATAAACATACATGTTTGAAGGTGCAAACCATCCCCTAAACTGGGACAGTGGTGTAATAGTACAACATAAGAACAAACTATACATATCAGTTGAAAAGGGCTTAACTCATAAGATCGATACAGAGCAGAAAAAAATATAACAAAAGCGCAGACCGGTCGTTCTTAAAGACACAAAGAACAGATATGAGAGTACTTGCAGTTACTGACATCTAGTTCAACCCCAACAACAACTAATAAAAATTCATGTATCTAGGACTATATCAATCAGTACACATCCAATGTCAGATAGATTTTAATGTAAAGACGTCTTTAACAGTCAGAGAAAAACATGACCTTGTGCAATGCCAAACTCGACAGTTTGTAGAAACCGTTTTTATTATGTTTGTATATAACAATAATATTTAGTATGGTTTTAATTTTAAAAATAATTTTAGAATAAGTTTATTTAAAGGATTGATAAGTATACCCGTACCGTATCTAAATTTCCGGGCTTGGTAAACAGTAAAATCAGGATGTGCTATTCCGTTTGAAATATTATTATTCAGAAAGCTAAATGATTTTGACAGACATATTTCTTATTTCTGATTTGTTCCACCTTTTGAAAATACAGCAGATTTTTCTCAGATTTTGACGAAAATTTACAGTTAACTACATATACGATCCGATCGCGATGCTTGACTACTATTAGTTATTCCTTCACGATATTTTTTTCTCGATATACCGAATGACACCCGTGAAATTCTTGAATGTCTCGTATGAAGCGATTATTTAAATCTTTTACATTGTTAATATTGTGGTTGTACACTTTCCAGCTTAATTTTGGAATAAAATAGTGATGTTCAAATCATTATCACAAAAGAGAAAATCGTTACTTTTTTTATCTATTTATTTTTGAGGGAGCGGAATATAAACAGTTTTTTCGTAAAGAAAAAGATTTCAAGCTACATTTTATAAAATCAATATCAATTTTCGGATTAATTACTTGCGTATTTTCCCCGCCATCTCTGAAATAAAGATTGATGTTTTTGAAAGTTAAATCAGAAAATTAGGACGTCAAAATACATGTCGTTAGAAATATCAGAAACGTTAATCCTTCAAAATTGTATCGATAAAATATTTATTTGGCTGGACTTCGCCTTTTCAATATTTTAAGGTACCGTTTAATTGAAATACTATAGATTGTTTTGAAAATAACAATTTAATACAGTCAAAGGCAACATATGAAACATAAATATTTCCATAAACTATAGTGTATTGCGAACATGTCTAACTGTATTCATCTTAAATATTATATGCATGACTATGTGAAAGATAGTTGTTAGTGTTGATCACGAATAAAGCACATGAAAGAATTGATTATGAGGCATATATGCATTTGTACGACTTGCGACTTGCAACTTTTGTCCCGTTATTTTTTTTTAAATCCCGGGAACCTCGATATCTGATTAAGCATAACTTTTCCCAATCGAATCAAATACAATATTATATTATATCATTGATATACAACCACAAAAACATAATTCTATTTTCATTTCACCTATTTTTTTTTTATCTTTATATCGTTTGAATTATCATACATATATGTATATTTTATTCGTATTATTAATATAATAACCGTAGTGTTATAACTATAGTAAATAATATACATGGTTTTAAATGTAGAAAGACAAAAAAAAAAGGCATTTAAATAGACGGTATATACAACTTATAATTGTCCAAAGACCCTTTAGATGGTCATAAAACATTTCAATCATTAAGACAGCTTTAATTTCCATTGTAAGACGTGTGCTACGATGGTCCTATGAAAGTCTTAAAATCTGTCATAAGATATTTCTTGAGACATGTCTGATAATACCAGGCCCAAGTATATTCAAACAGATTAGTGAGCTCAGTAAATCTCAGTGCGTGTTAGTCTATACACTGCATACATATTTACACCGTTGAAATATGACAATAACTTCAATACTTTATTGCTATATTTTACCATTTAACTATCAATATGTTTTATGTATTGATATTACGTTAAGCTATATTGAGGCAAAGCAGAACGTTCACATTTAGCACAATTGAAAATATGTGAAATATTGCCTTTGACGATAGAAACTGGGCGTTATATCGGTGAATTAACGTCCAACAGAAAGACTCTGTAGATTTTTTGAGAAGATTTTTGTAAAAGATTACAAAAATTTACGAAAAATTGTTAAATAAATTGACTATAAAGGGCAATAACTCCTTAAGGGGTCAATTGACAATTTCGGTCATTTGACTTATTTGTAGATCTTACTTTGCTGAACATTATTGCTGTTTACAGTTTATCTCTATCTATAATAATATTCAAGATAATAAACAAAAACTGCAAAATTTCCTTAAAATTACCAACTCATGGACAGCAACCCAACAACGGGTTGTCTGATTCGTCTGCAAATTTCAGTGCAGATAGATCTTAACCTGAAAAATATTTTTACCCATGTCAGATTTGCTCTAAATGCTTTGTTTCAGAGATATAAGCCAAAAACTGCATTTTACCCCTATGTCCTATTTTTAGCCATGTCGGCCATGTTGGTTGGCAAGCGGGGTCATCGAACACATTTTTGAAAGTAGATACCCTTATGATGATTGTGGCCAAGTTTGGTTAAATTTGTCTCAGTAGTTTCAGAGGAGCAGATTTTTGTAAAAGATTACAAAAATTTACGAAAAATTGTAAAAAATTGACTATAAAGGGCAATAACTCCTTAAGGGGTCAATTGACAATTTTGGTCATGTTGACTTATTTGTAGATCTTACTTTGCTGAACATTATTGCTGTTTACAGTTTATCTCTATCTATAATAATATTCAAGATAATAACCAAAAACTGCAAAATTTCCTTAAAATTACCAACTCATGGACAGCAACCCAACAACGGGTTGTCTGATTCGTCTGCAAATTTCAGTGCAGATAGATCTTAACCTGATAAATATTTTTACCCATGTCAGATTTGCTCTAAATGCTTTAGTTTCAGAGATATAAGCCAAAAACTGCATTTTACCCCTATGTCCTATTTTTAGCCATGTCGGCCATGTTGGTTGGCAAGCGGGGTCATCGAACACATTTTTGAAAGTAGATACCCTTATGATGATTGTGGCCAAGTTTGGTTAAATTTGTTTCAGTAGTTTCAGAGGAGAAGATTTTTGTAAAAGATTACAAAAATTTACGAAAAATTGTAAAAAATTGACTATAAAGGGCAATAACTCCTTAAGGGGTCAATTGACAATTTTGGTCATGTTGACTTATTTGTAGATCTTACTTTGCTGAACATTATTGCTGTTTACAGTTTATCTCTATCTATAATAATATTCAAGATAATAACCAAAAACTGCAAAATTTCCTTAAAATTACCAACTCATGGACAGCAACCCAACAACGGGTTGTCTGATTCGTCTGCAAATTTCAGTGCAGATAGATCTTAACCTGATAAATATTTTTACCCATGTCAGATTTGCTCTAAATGCTTTAGTTTCAGAGATATAAGCCAAAAACTGCATTTTACCCCTATGTCCTATTTTTAGCCATGTCGGCCATGTTGGTTGGCAAGCGGGGTCATCGAACACATTTTTGAAAGTAGATACCCTTATGATGATTGTGGCCAAGTTTGGTTAAATTTGTTTCAGTAGTTTCAGAGGAGAAGATTTTTGTAAAAGATTACAAAAATTTACGAAAAATTGTAAAAAATTGACTATAAAGGGCAATAACTCCTTAAGGGGTCAATTGACAATTTTGGTCATGTTGACTTATTTGTAGATCTTACTTTGCTGAACATTATTGCTGTTTACAGTTTATCTATATCTATAATAATATTCAAGATAATAACCAAAAACTGCAAAATTTCCTTAAAATTACAAATTCAGGGGCAGCAACCCAACAACGGGTAGTCTGATTCGTCTGCAAATTTTAGGGTAGATAGATCTTAACCTGATGAACATTTTGATTACGTCAGATTTGCTCTAAATGCTTTAATTTTAGAGATATAAGCCAGAAACTGCATTTTACCCCTATGTTCTATTTTTAGCCATGTCGGCCATGTTGGTTGGCAAGCGGGGTCATCGAACACATTTTTGAAAGTAGATACCCTTATGATGATTGTGGCCAAGTTTGGTTAAATTTGTTTCAGTAGTTTCAGAGGAGAAGATTTTTGTAAAAGATTACAAAAATTTACGAAAAATTGTAAAAAATTGACTATAAAGGGCAATAACTCCTTAAGGGGTCAATTGACAATTTTGGTCATGTTGACTTATTTGTAGATCTTACTTTGCTGAACATTATTGCTGTTTACAGTTTATCTATATCTATAATAATATTCAAGATAATAACCAAAAACTGCAAAATTTCCTTAAAATTACAAATTCAGGGGCAGCAACCCAACAACGGGTAGTCTGATTCGTCTGAAAATTTCAGGGCAGATAGATCTTAACCTGATGAACATTTTAGGTACGTCAGATTTGCTCTAAATGCTTTAGTTTCAGAGA